GCGGTAATGAAGATAGTGGTGGTGGTGGTTGTGATTGTGGTTGTTATAATGATGATGGTGGTGATGATGACAAAAATAGTTAATAGATAATAAATAAATAAAATATATTATTATTTTTTAAAAAAATTCATTCCCATTCTTTTTTTATTCCCACATTTTATGTGGTAATGAAGTTGTATGTAAATTTTTATTTTCATTCCCACTTCATTCATTTTAACTAAATAGCTACAATGTAGGAATAAAACTTTAACTCCTATTTCTATCACTCTATTATTAATTACCAAACAGCATCTTAGTAATACATCGATACTTCACCAATCTTGAACGGCAAAAGTCGCTGTCCAGGTTTCATGGCTGATTAAACAACCCTAAAGCACTTTCACTTTCATGAAGGAAACATTGATGATGGGGGATGCATCTGTCGCTATTACATAATTGCTCTAATGTCATTTTTTTTTTTTGGCAACACACTTGAACGAGGAAACCAGGAAAATAAAAGGGACCAAGTCTGGGTGAGTTAAAAATTTTGACCAATGGTGTTATTTTGAAATACTTCAGAGCAAATATGCAACCCAATCAATGCATTAATTGTGTGCTAATAGTCCATTCAAAGAAGATATAGTGATCAGTCAAGGTCCAAGGAAGTTCTCCAGTTTTGGATTTTCGACAACTACGACCAAGTCAAAACTGGAATTTGTCATGCCCTTCAATTGGTCCGAAGAGGATTTTTCACACCAATTTTGCTTCGACCTTTTGAAAAGTTAGCTAGGACGTTTGCTCACCACATGTTGCTGCAGTAATTATATCATTTTTTTCCTTTTTCTTTTTGGTTTAACCGAAGGGCACGATAGAGTTTTTACTAGATGATGGTTACTTCTGTTACAATCCTTAAATTTTTTATCCTTTAATTAGATTCTGATTAGGGATCTGGACCTTTTAACTTACTTTAAATTTAGGCCATGGCTGCCCTGATATCTACTCTTCTAGTGGAAGTTCAAAATTTTAACTTACTGTAGACCATGGCTGCAGGAATATCCACTCTCGAGTTTCATGCGTCTACACCAAATTTTATTTTGGGTTAGATAAATTTTGTAATGAATCAAACCATGAGCTTCTTAGTCGCCAAGGATAGAATCTAACGTTCACATCTATCCAACGTTCACACCAGGTCTTCCACCACCTCGAGAAACATCGTTTGTTTTTTGAAACAGTGATAAAGATATGTTTTTTTTTTTAATTTAATTTCATTCCCTATCGCACATGAAAGAATTATAATATCAATTCTGAAATAAAACACAATGCCTTAAAGTTTTTTTTTCCCCTTGAAGAATAAAAAATATTAACAATAATACAAACTATTTTTCAAAAATCAATGCTAATAAAAAAATTTCTCTTCTTTTCTCTTGTTGTATAATTGCTTTTTTTTTTTTTTTACAATTATAAATATATAAACTAAAAAAATCGTTTCTAATTTTGTAATAATTTGTTTAATTTTTTCATAAATTATTTAAAAATTACTTCAGACATAAACTTGATCTATAACAAATGCCAAACACTAGCTACTACAACACGGATACACATGCTTGTGGTCCGGTGGCTATAAAATTTGGAGACAGAAGATTGGCGGCCTGGTGCTGCACATGCATACTATTAAAAGGGCATGTTTACGAGAGAATCTTAGTTTTCAAAACCTGATTTGAATTTAAATCCTAATAATTACCTCTTATTGTCAAGTCGCTTCCTGTCATGTTACCAAGGGCAAGGACATGGCTAGTTAAAAAGTTGTGTTCATTGCACTCTCCATCAAATAGAATCAAAATAGGGATGCCTAAGTACAACTAGCCTTTTACTAGTATGCATGAGCAGCACCAAGCCGCCAATCTTCTGTCTCCAAATTTTATAGCCACCGGGTCACAACTCACAAGCATGTGTATCTGTGTTGTAGTAGCTTAGTGTTTGGCATTTGTTATAGATCAAGTTTATGAAGTAATTTGAAAATAATTTATGAAAAAATTAAATAAATCATTACAAAATTAGAAACGATCTTTTTAGTTTATACAAACACACGCATATATATATATGAGAGAAATTTTCACATTCAACTTCAAGTCAATATTTATTTTTTATTACATATACACATTTCAAAGTTCTTCGGCGTCATTTCTACGTGTCTTAATTCATAATATATTCTGCCCCAGTTCATCAGTCTATTTTTGCTTCTTCTTCTTCTTCTTCTTCTTTTTTTTTTTTTTTCTTTCAGTCGTCATTTGCTTCTTCTTCTTTTTTTATTATTTTTTTTCTTTTCTGTACTCCATTTGGTTGAGTTGGTGTAACTAAAACTTTTTCAAGCAAGGCACTTTTTTTTTTTTTTTTTTTATGATTGGAAAATACTTGTGACTAGGAATAGATAACAAAAATATAAAAGCTTCCATATCACCAATAATTAGATTTCTAGCAAATCATTAACACCCACCTACGTTATGTCGAGAGACCGCATTCTAAAAAACAAAGAAGGGTCTCTGTATAACGGAGACCGAGTCACATTTCTGGTTCTAGATGGAGTCTCTTGAATTTGGAAACCTAGCAAGCCTTTTTTCGGGCTGCTCTCGTCACCTGCCAACCAAGCATATTATTTAAACTGGACTAGAGGCGTGGAAGATGAAAAAAATCTTAAAATACTCAAGGAATATTTACAATAATTATTCCACGAAATCATCTTTAAAGAGAGAAAAAAAAGAATTATATCTATTTCTTATAAAATAAATAGTGATTGCTACTCCATAACTAATATAAAATGCCCAAAATTTTATTTTTTGGGCCTAATGCTTAATTTAGGGCCCCTGGGCATTATAAAATAAAAATATTCTCTTGAGTTTTTAAAATTGATGACATTAGAGAAAGATGGCTTATTCTTTCTATCCTTTTTTTTTTTTAATACTAGGAGACCCAACGGGCGATTACATAATTATAACTGAAAATATGCAATAATCGAGACTTAATTTCAATTAATTAAAAAAAATTGCATACACAATCGCTATCCTTAAGTTTTAATAATAACAATAATTACTAAAGAATTGGGTCCCGTTTAACATGGGCCAACGTATATTTCGGCTTATGAATAGGCTCAGACATTTCAGGCTTCGGTCTAAGACAGGCTGATGACATTTTGGGCCGAAGCTTTTGTTGAATGTACACTTCGGGCTTCAAGTTTTTTTTTTGGGCGAATACTTTTGTTCGAGTCTATTTGCTTAATTCATTTTATTGCATGGCATTGTCAAGAAAAAAGTTGCAGTTGCGTGTCTGTCTTAATAATCTTATTTGCTTTATTTTATATTCATGCAATAGTACTGGAAAGAACTGGATCTAACCAACAATTTCTGAGAAACAGATCTCACCAACCCATCCAAGTTGAGAGGGGGGCATTTGGTGGAGAATAGAGAGTGGCGGTTGAAAAGGAAAGTAAAAATAAAAAATAAAGGGGGCGAATCATGCCTAATTGTATTTGGTAGTTAGAATCACAACCCTAAATTCCCAAGTTGATCTTCATCCTACGTTGAGTTGGAATTTGGAATTTGGTAGGTTTGCAATAGGATCGGACGGTTCTACAACAAGAGTCTACATATAGAGGGGTCGCTTAACACGTCTTTAAAACAAGTATTGAGAGTTATTTAATATTTCAAAACAATATTTATTTTCAATTTTAATTATATAATTTACTGTTAAAATTTAAAATATTATTATATAAAATAACATCTATTTAATAGTTATAATCAATTTTATAACCAATACCATCCATTTTCTATCAAATAAGTTGATTTTTTTTAATCACAATTCAATAATAAAATTCTAGTCTCTTAAATTTGGTAGCTGCGATAGTGACTTTCAATTATAATCAGCTATAGTTTAGTCCTCGATCTTTTTATATAGCCTAATTGCTCCTCAATGGGAGCTTGGTGGGGAATGTTACCTGCATTACAGTTTATTCCTCACTGTAATTTCTGTAAAATTTACCTGTGGTCTATTGATTTCTGACATTTGGAATTAATTAATGAATTTCTCAAAACAAGAGAGATTAGTTTATAATTATTTTTTTTCACACAATATTGTTAGTGGCAATAGAGGTGTAATTTAAATAGAATGCGTTAAGAACGTAACGAGAATGTTTGAAACTTGGAAAATAAAATTAATACAAAATTTTTTTTATCATCAAAATTAAGTCTATAGTTGTGGCTTTTTTTTTATTTTTTTATTTTTTAAGGTTTGTCAAAAAAAAAAAAAAAACTTATATTGAACTGAACAGATAGGACAGGCGGAGTCGGCCGAGTGGATTCCTTTTTCCTATCAATGCACGCTGACAGGAGTGAGCGAGGAAAGCACTCAAATGAGGGTTCAACAGAATCTAAGAAATTCTGCTCGAATCAAGTAAAAAAAAAAAAACCAAACTGCGGGCCCCATTTACTGCTACGCCGTTCATTCATCCACTTCTCCACACATCTCTCATTCTTCCGCCAACCCTACATTTCTTTTCCCTCTCTTTCTTTCCTTCCCTTCCACATTCAAAGCCCATGTTCTAAGGTAAACGCTCTCATCCACTTTTTTTTTTTTTCCGTTTTTTTCCTTTTTAACGGTCAGCCAACAGTTTCTCCTGCACCGAAACTAACCGCTTTCCCGGTTGCATATTCGGCAGTAGCAAATCCGTTTACCACCAGAGCCAAAAGCTCAACGGTGATTCACTCCTTTTGTAGATTTAGCTATATAGTTGCAGGATCTGCTTGCTTATTATTAATTAGCGATTGAACGTTGTTGCTCTTGCTCATTGCTCGATTTATTTTTGAAAAACTTGCTGCGAATAAGCTTATTCTAGTTAAATTTGAGATTTGCTTTCATCGCTGCTCTGTTTCTGATTGCGGTTTTTGTTTTTTGTTTTTTATTTTTTTGCAGGAACGGCAGAGAAGTAAGGTTTCTTTGTCTGTTTTTGGATTACTTTCTTTGAGTAGAAAATGAATCTGGCTCTGTGTTCGTCGTCGTCATTGGAACCGAATAATCCTTTTATTGAGGGTTCGCCAATTACAAATAGGAAAATACCGACGTCCAAGCCTTTTCTAAGAGTTGGTTATGTTGAAAAGAATGAGAAAGTTGAAGAGTATTGTCGTAATGGCAGAAAGGTGGTGGTATCTAGTCATTTGATGCCGGGACATTTAGAAGGGGCTTTCATGAGAAAGAAACGGCTCGAGGAGCCTAGCCGGAAAATGGATTTTGTGAGGACATTGTTGATTGACAACTATGATAGTTATACATACAATATTTACCAAGAGCTATCTGTCGTTAATGGGGGTATGTCTTTTGGATTTTTCTCTGTGTTTTGGGATACTATTCTTTTTTTTTTTTTTTCCAGAAAGAATTTCTTTGGAAGGCAATTCATCTGTATTGTGAAATTCAGGCATATGTAAAGAGTGGGAGACTGTTCTTTGATATTGTCTAACTTGGTTTTGTTGCTATTTCAGTTCCTCCTGTGGTCATCCGAAATGATGAGTGGACATGGGAAGATGTGTGCCATTACTTGTATGAAGAAAGAGCATTTGATAATATTGTTATCTCACCTGGACCTGGTTCTCCAACATGTGCAGAGGATATAGGTAAGATTAAGAACGGAGTTCTATCATTTTCATGTTCGTGGACTGCATTAGTTCAAATATAAACTGGAGACATACCTTGCAATTGTTATATTCAGTCACTGGATGTAGGATCCACCATTTATACATAGAACTCTACCCTGTTTCATGTGTCTCAATGCAATTAAACATGCGCATGGCAATGTATATAATCATGTCAGTTATTTGTTATAAACATTGCTATTGGGGTCTTGTTAAGACAGAACTGTTCTCGAAAGTTTAGCTGAATCATTACAAAAGTTATGTGCAAGTATTGTGTTGTAGAATAATGGGAATTTTGTTCGTCACTGGCTCACTTCCCTTACAATGACGATGCTGCAGCTAGAGTTCAGTTTATTTTCTGTTGGCATATTTTATCATTTTTATTAGAGTGGAGTTAATCTGATTACATTTCAGATTCTATTTAAATCTTACAGGAATATGTCTTCGACTGCTGCTTGAGTGCAAGGGTATTCCTATTCTCGGTGTTTGCCTTGGACACCAGGTATTTCAGTTCATGCTCATGTCATTTTCCATGTTGGCTGAATTTATCTTGACCAATTACTACTTGTTCTCATGATTCTATAAATCAATATGTTTACAAACAAGTTAAATCAAGTTTTTATTTGTTCTTTAATCTTTGGTTGATGCAATATTCTCTTTCTTTATGTGTGTGGATGCAACTTTCCTTCAATTAGACAGATATTTTATCACGATCTGCTTTCCACTACTGAATTGAATGGGTTTTCAAATGACAGGCTTTGGGTTATGTCCATGGTGCTAGAATTGTCCATGCATCTGAACCAGTCCATGGACGTTTAAGGTACATTTTGAACATAATTTCAAGGGTTTCTTATATCGTCCTGGTTTCTTTGGTAATTTTCTATTTCATTGTATGTAGTTTAGTCACTATAATATCAATTGTATCTATCTTTTATAGTGTCTATGATGACTAAACCATGGTAAAAGTATGGTCATAAATTTGTGAAAAAGGACTTTTTAGTATTCGCTATATGGTCTTACCTGCACTTGATCCCCCTCTATTAACTTTATCCCCTGTGTTGTGCCTTGCAGTGAAATTGAACATAATGGAAGCAGGCTGTTTGATAACATCCCTTCTGGCAAAAAATCTGGTTTTAAGGTCTGACTGTCTCCCTATATTTTATGGATATAAACTTCCATTTGGCCTCTATGCTGTATGTACTAGGGACGATGGTGTACGAGTGTCACATTTACCACAACTTTTTGCTTCATTGTTGCAGGTGGTACGGTATCATTCTCTCATCATAGATTCAGAAGCACTGCCGAAGGAACTTGTACCAATTGCATGGACTTCTAGCAGCACTCATTCTTTCCTTGAGTCTCCGAATTCTGGTCTTACCCCTGATGCCTGTGAGAACCAGCTTAGGTCAAACAGACCTTTTGATACTTACTCAATGGGATCATACAATGGAACTGCTTGGTCTTTTAGCAACCCTGGTAGAATGCAAGGGAAAAAAGTTCTCATGGGCATTATGCATTCTACTAGGCCACACTATGGTTTACAGGTTTGTTGATCATCATTGTGCTGCAGTTATCCCTGATTTGCTATTCTGTGCTTTACACTCTTGATTTGTTTTGACCTTCAGTTTCATCCAGAAAGTATTGCAACCTGTCACGGAAGGCAAATATTTGAGAATTTTAGAGAGATAACAGAGGATTATTGGCAAAGACGGAGGTCAAGGTCAACATTTATTAATGATAGAAATGTTCATTATACTGGTAAAGATTACCAATTAACTTTTCTCATCAGTGGACCCTCCTGTTATCTATTCTGTATTATCTTTCTTTCTGTACATGCACGTGTATTTGAAAATTATAGAATTAAGCTTGCCTGTCCATCTATTTATACTCCAATGGGTGTTCCAATCTGTGATATGGGATGAGCCTGTTGTGTGTTGTTAGAAAACTTTCCAATAATTTTGTGGTTTGACCAATCTAGAAAGCATATTGTTGAGGGCAACTTACAATGAGCATAAGGAGCAAGTGTCAACATTTAGCGTATGGGTCTGGTTCAACCTCCTTCTGCATGCTCTGTGCTCCATTCTGAAACTCTCTCTGTGCGGTGCCTAAGGGTTTACCTCATGAATAACTCCATTTCTCTTATGACATGCATCTGCAGATCTAGTAATTTCCTCCGAGCAGTAAACTTTTTTTAGCATGCATGCAGGTGTCTGTTGCTAGTCAACTATTTGGAGTTCCTAGAACCGGGGCAGTAGTACACAAGGAAGATGCTCAATCATTTAGAGAAGCTTCTAGAAGAAGCCAAATACTTGGAAATGCAGATGTGAACTCTGTCAGCATTTCCAGTGTATTGAAGTTTCCAGAATCAAGCATCAACGTTAGGCATCTAAAGTTGAAATGGAGGAAATTTGATAAATTAGCTGCCCAAGTTGGTGGAGCAAGAAACATATTTTACGAACTGTTTGGGGCTTGTAAAGCTGAAAATACATTCTGGTTGGACAGCTCCTCAATAGAAAAGGTTTTAATTTGGAAAAGATTTATAGAACTTTGTTATGTTTATTATTTTTAATCTTCTTTTTTAAGGCTTTTGACATCTTTTATTTTTCTTTCTTTTGAACATTTAGAAAAGAGCACGCTTTTCATTTATGGGGGGTAAGGGCGGACCGCTTTGGAGTCAAATGTCATTTAGATTGTCAGATCAAAGGTTTGTTCGAATTGAACTTGTCGATAATTTGCAACTCAGAGACATTTTTTTCCTTCTTCATGAATCAATAGCAATCCTCTTATCCCTTAAACAGTTTGCTTGGTTTATTCTCTTGTTGGTGTTTTGCTTTATGTGTAATTATCTAGTTGTTTAGAGCGATATTTTTGTAGTCAGGTGCAAGATTGTGTTTTTTTATTTTTCTAAGATTGTGTTATTATCTATTTTTTCATGTGATATTTGACATGAATTAATCTGTACTGCACTTATTTTCAGTGATACGGATTTTAAAGGTGGAGGTTACTTATCAATTGTAGATACTCAAGGATCTACCAGAAGCATGTTTTTGGAAAAAGGTTTTCTTGATTTTTTGAACCAGGTATAAGTGCATATGTTTCACTGGTTGTTGGTGTATCATTTCATGACAACATAACAAATATAAATTACGCTTAAATCTTACTGTCTTTTTTGGAAGGGGGAGGTGATTGAGTTGGGTCACAATTCAGAAAAAAATTGAAATTTGTTTGCCATTGAAGAATATGTCATGGCTTCTAGTGCTTGACCAGAAGTTGATGCATGGAATTATAGTCTCTAGTGGCACTTGTCTATTGTGCATTCGGGATGAATAAAAATTTATATTCATGCTTTTAATATGATCACTTGATCCAGTCTGATAGATGTTCTTTGTTGTTTGATCTGGTTTCTAGGAGCTACTATCATTTAGTTATGATGAAGAAGATTTTGAAGAACTGCCATTTGACTTTTATGGTGGTTATATTGGTTACATTGGGTAAGTTTTTTGTCTTTTCATCTGCAGGTTAATCTTGTTTGTATGGGTAACATAAAGTCATCAAGCTGTTTTAGCATCGCATGAAATACCTATCCTTCATTCAAATCCTCTCTATCAAGTGCATTTTACATCACTCTGAAAGGCTCAATAAATACTAGGCATTAATCTCTAAATGTGCTGTTACCATGTCTTGTTCCCCACACATCACAGACTCATTCGATTGTTCCTTTGCCTCTTGCTTGGATCATGGTTCTAGGTAGTCGAATGCTTACGTAGATCCATTTATTATAAAAAAATTATTTTGTTTGGAGTTCTATTAGAAATGAATATTGTTGTCTTTAACATACTTCTAAATCCTTGTTGAAAGAAGGGTAATAGAAATACAAATTGATTTTCAACTTAGTAGTAGAAGTTGAAAAATGAACAGGCTAATTTACTTAGACTTGAATTGGAAATATCATCTTCCTCAGAGGTTCTTTTGTATGTGCCATCCTGGATGAATGTAGTGTTGTCGATTCCTTGACAATAATTTTCTCATATTGCAGGTATAGCCTCAAAGTTGAATGTGGCATGTTATCCAATTCTCACAAATCTAGGACTCCAGATGCTTGCTTTTTCTTTGCAGATAATTTTGTAGTCATTGATCATCTTAATGACAATGTTTATATATTGTCTTTACATGAAGAAAGTACAACCACCACACCATGGTTAGATGATACAGAAAAGAAGTTGCTTTGTTTAGAAGCGTCTGCTACAAGAAAATTAGAGGAGCAGGCTTCCCCTACCGCAGCATTTTCCCCATGCAAGGGTGCCTTTCTTGGGGAAAAATCTAGAGAGCAGTATGTTAAAGATGTTAACAAGTGTCTAGAATACATTAAAGACGGGGAAAGCTATGAGTTATGTCTCACTTCTCAGATGAGAAAAACAGTCGGAGAGATAGATTCCCTGGGACTTTACCTTGTCCTCAGAGAGAAAAATCCAGCACCATATGCGGCGTGGCTTAATTTTTCAAATGAAGATTTGTGTATCTGCTGCTCTTCTCCTGAGAGGTTCCTACGCTTGGACAGAAATGGTATATTAGAAGCAAAGCCAATTAAAGGTACTATAGCTCGAGGTGTAACACTGGAGGAAGATGAACAACTTAAATTGAAACTGCAGTACAGGTAAATTTGAATCTGGTCTTTATTTCTTTTTCTCCAAGCATCGAATCCATTGTTGCTTTTTCTTGATTCTTATTAACGCCAATAGTCAATTAAAGGAATTCTGTTCTTGAGGACAACAAGTTCTTCTGTATTTGGAAATTTGGGTTGCTTTTTTACAGTTTGACATGTGGTCTAATGGTTATGAAGTGCAAGAGTTGTGGGGTTACAAATAAAAATCCAAGCAGATTATTAAGGAGTTTCTTTGCTTAAGAATTGAGCATTGATAATGACCCAACCACTCAGTTGTTAGAGAATATGGCTGGTTGTCAAACAGAATTGAGCATTGATAATGACCCAACCACTCAGTTGTTAGAGAATATGGCTGGTTGTCAAACTTTGATAGTTTGTCATGTGCTTTTACGTGCATTTTAGACATGAACAATCATTTTTTTTAACAAATAAATGCTGTAAAAATGGAGTTTTTGCATTTGAGAAACTTTGGTCTCGTAAATCATATTGAACAGAATAAATGCATTTTGAGTGCAAGAATTTGTCTGGTTTTCTTTTTTTGACGAACTGACAAATCCCCTCCCCCAGTGAAAAGGATCAAGCCGAAAATCTTATGATTGTCGATCTTTTGAGGAACGATCTTGGTCGTGTCTGTGAGCCAGGCTCTGTTCATGTTCCGCATCTTATGGACGTAGAGTCGTATGCAACTGTGCATACTATGGTGAGTACAATACGGGGAAAGAAGAGGTCAAATATGAGCGCAGTTGACTGTGTCAGGGCTGCATTTCCAGGTGGTTCAATGACAGGTGCACCAAAGTTGAGATCAATGGAGCTTCTTGATTCTCTTGAAAGCTGTTCTCGTGGCATCTACTCAGGTTCTGTTGGATTTTTCTCATATAACCAGACATTTGATCTGAATATCGTGATTAGAACAGTAATTATTCACGAGGGCGAAGCTTCTATAGGTGGAGGAGGAGCAATTGTTGCTCTATCAAATCCTGAAGACGAATACGATGAAATGCTATTGAAAACACGTGCACCAGCAAGCGCAGTGATAGAATTCCAGTAGGATCAGAACCAGACATTCACATTATAGAATAGTAACACTGTTGTATTTTCTTTTTCACTTTTTCCTCAGAAATTGTCATACTTCCACACAAGCATAGATAGCCCTTTCTTTTTTGTAGCGTTTGTGAGATCCAATTTGCCAGAAGTATCATAGATTAATTATTTTTAAACATTGGCACAGTCCAATTTCATGAAAGTTTCATTATTTTTACCTTGGCAACTCTTTACAGGGCATTTCACAATGATTGACAGGTTAAACTCCATTTTTTCTTACCTTTGCAACACCATACAGGGCATTTCACAATGATTGACAGGGTAAACTCTACTTCTTCCAGTCTAAAATTCTCAATTGAAAAGCATGGTTAATGCTTGCAATTTCTTCATAGCTAGCATCTTCGTAGAATAATCTTCTGGGGTACGGTTTTGATTAAAGGGCTGATGTAAAAGAAGGAACTATATAATCTATGAATTGAATAAGTCCTCACGCGGTGTGTCGTTGAAGTACGGACAAATCATTGGTTGGTAGCTCTTTACGACTGAAATAGAAACCGGATTGGTCAATGGCAAAAAAAGGACCCACAACAACAACCCATTTGATAATTTTTTTTTTAAGGATTATATTGCAATTCCGCACTTTATCAAAAAAATTATCTTTTTACTCTACCCTTTTTAATTGAGTTTATATATATATGTCAATAAAAATTCATCCAACCTTACATTGTCTTTTTTGTTGTTTCACTCCACCACCTACCAAAATTGTAGAGTGAATTATAAATTAGTCACATAATTTTTTAAAATAAATTAAATAGTTTCTTTATTTTCAAAAACTACTCAACTAATCTTTATATTTTTAAATCTATTTACAACTAAATTATTTTCTTTCTTTTTCAATTTATTTTATTTTAAAAATTGAAAAAAAAAAGATATGGAGAAAGATGGATATTAGAAAAGAATACATTTTTGAACTAAAAGAGATTATTTAATTAATTTATTTATAAAATAAAATAATATTAAACTATCTATAATCACATCAATAATGAGACGAATTAATTATTTTTTGAACCAAAAGAGACTATTTAATTCGTTTAGCAAGACTAGAAATAATTTATAATTAATTGTATCCTAGCATAGAGACTAGGCCATGGTCTTTCCTCTACCTACTTACCTACCCAAATTTTATTTAATCTTTTGTTTTTTTTTTTAAAAAAAGGAAAAATTTCTTTCACGCAGAGAAGAAGAGGGTAGGTGGCTACAGACTTTTCTGCAAAACTGCACCAACAAACTACAACAGCAACTACACCACCACTACCACTTGACATCCCAAACTCCACACAGATTTGCTTAAATAAATAAATAAAACCCACCAAGCCTCTCCCGTTCTAATCTCTCCTTACTCTCTCTCCCCCGTCTTGATTTTCATTAGTGATCAATGGCTTCTTCTACTCTTACTTCCAAGACCTTCCTTGGTTCTTCAAGAATCGATAGTGCTTCTCTCTCGTCCGACCTCCGTAAACTCTCAGTCTCCTCCGTTCAGATCTCCTTCCGCTCACGTATTCCAAAGAAACTCCGTAAGTCTCCTTCTCTTTTTTATTAATTCAACTAATCTCTGCGCATTTTTGCTATTGAATTTAGGTTTACCAAACTTGACTGAGTTAAGATTTTGCTTTTTTGTAGAAATAAATGCGGCGGGGAGTACATTTGGGACTAATTTTAGAGTAACAACATTTGGTGAATCACACGGAGGTGGTGTTGGCTGTATAATTGATGGATGTCCTCCGCGCATCCCGCTCTCCGAAGCTGATATGCAATTTGATCTAGATAGAAGGTAATTTTACTGATTTCAATATGTGATTGTTTCGTGTTGCTAGAGATTTATTGTTTTGCATTGCTCTGCGTCTGAAGGTGTATTGGTTGAATTTTTTGTGTACAGGAGGCCAGGTCAAAGCCGAATTACGACTCCGAGGAAGGAGACTGATACTTGCAAAATATCTTCGGGTGTTTCTGAAGGTTAGATAGTTTTTTTTTTTTGGTTAATAATGTATAGTTGGTAGTGTTGGTTCTTGATGTGCTGATATGGTGGTATATTAACTGCAGGACTGACTACCGGGACGCCGATTCATGTATTTGTACCGAATACTGATCAAAGAGGACTTGTGAGTAGTTAGTGCTAGAGGCATTGTATGACACTTGGCATGTATTAGGAGATTAATTGAGCTGAAAAGACTAGAGCATATTTTTGGCAAATTTATGTTGGATGGAAAATTATTTTGCGTGGTATTCACTTATCATTTTAGATTAGTTTGCAGTGTTTTCCTTAAAAGAATATTTCCTATGATTTTTGAAATGTTATCATTCTGTTGTACACTATGATGGTGACTACACGTACTTTTGATTGCTAAAATATCTGGATATGAATTTAATTTGAATGTTGCGGATTAGTAATGGGGTGTCTATTTACTAGGGAAAGGTACATGTAATTGGGCAATGGTATACTTGGTTGGCATCTTTCTGTAGTTTGTAAGGAGTTGAGAAAGTCTCATTCTTATTTTGTCTAATTATCAGGATTACAAAGAAATGTCAGTTGCTTACAGGCCTTCACATGCAGATGCAACTTATGACATGAAGTATGGTGTTAGATCAGTTCAGGTAGTGTGTTTAAGCAATAAGCACTCTGATTATGGATATACTGTTGGCATTATTACAAAATGCAAGTGTGACCTAGTTTGTTTGAATTCTAACTGAAGGGTGGGGGTAGATCTTCGGCAAGAGAAACAATTGGAAGAGTTGCTGCTGGAGGTGTTGCAAAGAAAATTCTCAAACTATATGCAGGAACTGAGGTGTGTTTATTAACTCCTGGGTGTAGAGAAAACCATTCTTGTCCTTTTTGTTTCCGTTACCCATTGAGTACAAATTTTTATCTTTAGGGTGTTTGGTCCGTGTGTGTTTATAGCTGATTTGCATGTTTAATTTTTGTTTACTTGTATGGATATGCATTAATATCCCCCATAAATATTGCTATTTGAGACACTTAATTTTTCAGTTTCCAAATTTGTCTGTTGGATGGAAATTGATTTTAAACATTTTCATTATCCTTTGCCTTAACGTTTGTTTTGTCTTTCAGATTTTTGCTTATGTCTCTCAAGTCCACAAGGTCGTACTTCCAGAAGGTGTGGTTGACCATGACTCTCTTACACTTGATCAGGTATATATGTTGTAGTGTGTGTTTTTTGAAGAACATTTATTTTGGGATTTGTGTTTAGCCATGTCAGAAGCTGACTGAGAAGTTGCATGGTATTTTTGGGATGTCAATCTTGTGTAATTCCCCTTGCAAAATGGAAGAGCCCTTTTAGCAAGAACCACTCACAAACCTGAGCACCTTGGTTTGCTGCACAAAGATACAATGTTTCAACAACCATAAAAATATATTTGGACTTGTGAAAGTTTGATTGAGTAAAAATATTTTATAAATATGAAAGTCAAGTTCCTCTCTTTCTGGTGATTTTTCGTTATTGGTTTCATTTAGTTTTTGGCCCACTTCTTATTTGCCCTTAGACTGACCAAGCCATGCATGACATTTTAACAGATAGAGAGCAATATTGCCAGATGTCCAGATCCTGAATATGCAGAGAAGATGATAGCTGCCATTGATGCTGTCCGAGTGAAAGGGGATTCTGTTGGTGGTGTGGTCACGTGTATTGTAAGAAATGCACCACGTGTAAGTATCGACTTTCTCTCCTTTTCTCCATGTGGAACATGCATATTGATCTCTTCATGATGTTTCTTCATCGGATTTTGGATTGTTCGCTGAAGTTTCTAGATCCTGAACATCCAAAGCTTATTCTTATGGCTTGTTATTTTTCAATCTTTGCATGGGATTAAAATCTGTATGTTGTATGCCAGGGGCTTGGTTCACCAGTCTTTGACAAACTTGAAGCTGAGCTTGCTAAAGCTGCTATGTCGCTACCTGCAACAAAAGGCTTTGAAATTGGGAGTGGATTTGCAGGTTGAAAACATTTATGGGCATTTCGGAGTGCATTTGGCACCTAAGTTTTTCTATTAAGTTTGGTGATTGGGAGTGAAATACTTAGGATCCTACCATCTGCTCAGTATTTCTTTATTGCTACATTGTAAGCCAATTCCAAGTCCTCATTAATAATAAAAATCATTGCAGGTACTTTTTTGAGTGGGAGTGAGCATAATGATGAGTTCTACACAGACGAACATGGAAGAATCCGAACAAGAACAAATCGCTCTGGTGGGATACAGGTGTGTGTTTGATTCCTGATCTTCTTTTTCTAATTTTGGTACTTCGGTATAGATATCTTTTGTTGAGCATCAGTTTTGATATTTTCCTCTTCTGATGAGCAGGGAGGAATATCAAATGGTGAAACTATAAACATGAGAGTAGCTTTCAAGCCAACAGCTACGATAGGAGTAAGTTTGATCTATCTACATACCAAAATTAATGCATGCATTTTGTATGCTTAATATTTTTTTATAAGATTCAAATTTATTGATGTAAAGTTAGTGTCTATATGATTAGCTTTCTCTTTCTTTCACACACACACATCAATACTCAAAATGAGCTCGTGAGTGCTTGTTCTGTTTTGTTGAGGTGGTGTGTTATGTTTTTCATCTTACTCTTGAGCCTTGGCTTGGGTGGTAACCCAATGTAATCATCTTGGGTTCAAATCCAAGATGGAGATGCAAGAAAGAATCTATGAGTCCAAGCCTGCCTATGACCCGAGTAGGAGGGATTTAATCTCGATTTGCAAAAGTTGGTTTAGGATATCGTGACCATTAAGACATTAAAAAAAAAAAAAAAAAATAAGAATTATACTAGTTAGAGGTTCATCCTTCTTCATGTGTTCTGTGTGTGAACTCTTATCTTAGGATTTTTTAGCAAGTACTGATAGTTTGGAACCATGTCCACCCACCCCATTTTCTACATTTTATGTCATGATTAGCAAATAACTGCTGCTCTTACAGGTTTCTTAAGATATGGCTTGAAGTAACAGATTGTTTTCCACATATCACGTGTCTACTGTTCTTATTGGTTTATTAAGCTTCGCTTGTATATTTGAATATATATTTCAAATATTTGCCTGTAGTTTATTCTATAATTTATATTTATTTCTTGTGCTGGTTTTGTAGAAGAGGCAACACACAGTTACTAGAGATAAAAAGGAGACGGAACTAATAGCTCGTGGTCGCCATGATCCCTGTGTTGTCCCACGAGGTATGTCCTAAGATTATTGGTTGATACTTCTAACGATTGAGAAATCTTTAGAACTTTGATGATTTGATGTAATCCTAACTAAATTAATTTTTAATATTAAACTAGTTGGAGTGGACTTATAGTATCATCATTGGCGAAAATGAAAGAGAACCAATATTAATCATGTATGTTTACTCATTTGAAGTGAAATTAAACTTTTCTCTTAAGAGTATGCTTGTTTGGGATGGTGATGCAGCGGTACCAATGGTGGAAGCTATGGTGGCCTTAGTGCTTATGGACCAGTTAATGGCACAATATTCACAATGTTATCTGTTTCCCATCAATTCAGAGCTACAAGAACCGTTGATAATGCCAAGACTGGAGGCGGCCAACGCATCAGTATGAAAGGCAGTTACAGTTAGATATTTTTCAGTTCTCCATTAGTGCTGCGTAAGGTTCACAACAAAGTTTTCTTGCTGAGACTTTGGAATTACAAGTTCGATTTTTTTTTTTTCTTGAGTGAATCTGTTGTTGTAATATCTGAAATGACTCTTCGTCTCTCATGGAAAATGTGAGCACATATCTGCTATTATTTATCAATAAAAAAATTTGTAGAAGCAGAGATATATCGATTAAGAGATTGGATTTTGTGTTGTCACATTGATATGTTCTTGCTCGACTAGAAACGATGGTTAGAGACGAGGTTTAATGGCTCAATTTTTATATAATAAAGTAATTTTTTGATCTTTAATGGAACTAATTTTATTGTTGAATATAGGTTAAGTCTTTAATTTATTATTTTAGTAAGATTTTAAAGCTAAACTATTAAAATTAGTTATATGACTTGCAAATAAAAATTTTCTATTTGACGAGTTTGAAAAGATAATTTGAAAATAAAAATTAGTTATGTTTAAATCATGTAAATAATTTTGATGATTTATCTTGAAAATCTCGACAAAATATAATAGATTAAAATTTTAATATTTATTAAAAAATATAACAAATTGAAAAAATTATTATATTAGATAAGAATGAATTTAACTATTATCGAGATAAAATTGAAAGTTTGACCCACTGGTTGGTTTCGGAGGCAAAAATGCATTTTAGCCTAAAAAGTTCAATCAACTTGCCTCCAAAATTACAGTTGTCATGTCAGAGACCAGATTGAATAGGGGATTTTAAGAAGATTGAAGAAGCAAAATGAGGAAGAAATGCAAAACAGAGAGAAGGTTGAAAGAATTTAAGGGAGAATAATAGTTTGTTAAATTCTGAGATACATATGATTAGAATAGTACTGAATTTAAGAAATCAACGAAAATAGAAAGCGAAAACCCCTCATGGCTATTACAATTATTTGAACTACACCCAAAATAAATAAGTGAACGACAGCTCTTTAATCTCTTCTTGTCGTTTGGGTCCATGACAAGCCAGTCCTGAGAAACAAACAACTTTCTTTCTACAGGTATCTCTGACAAACAATAAGGTGTTTCTCCAGTGCGACGAACCGGAGAGGAGAAAGGAGATCCTGTTGAAAATTTCAGTATCCTTCCTTGAACAGAGAGATTGGCGCTAGTTGGGTAGGCCTGGTCCATCGTCGTTTAATGACATGGGGCCATTACCTCATAAGATTGCACGGTGCTTGGTTATGCGCGTTTTCTTCTTTTGATGATTATCTTGTTGTATTTTGTTTATAGAGTAGAAGGAAATGGAGAAAGTAGTTTTCAACAAAGTCAGTCAATCCTTTCTCTCGCTTTCGGTTCGAATTAGGGTAGGCTTAGGTTGCTCAATTACATCATGAGTTTGTATACATTGGACCAACTTAGGACAGCTGATTAGTGCCCTAATCCAAATAACCTTATTAAGTTAAGCTTGTCATAGGTTAGTTAAACTGGAGCTTATCATCAATCCTAAACATGGACCCTAGGATGCCTAATTTCTTTCCATAGCTAGCTTAATTATAATACGGAGCAATAAAAGCGAATGATAAATGAGTATCTTTTCTCGTCGAAACTGTAAGATAAAAAAAGAAAGAAAGAAAGAAAAACAACAACAACATCAATCCCATGACATAACATCTGTGATTAACATAAATAAATGCTGCAACGATGAAGTTGAATAAAGTAACGTTGAAATTCTGAATCAGATGTGAGTACTAGTGTTGTGTATGGATTGAATCACAAAAGGATTTGGAAACACAACTTAGAAGTGGATTTTGAGGTTTGAAACAGTCTTTGTTGGTTTACCGACAATCCGTAGACTATAGAGATCTAAATAATCCTTTTCAATAGGAATTATGATCCTCAATCGGACATTTAGATCAATAGTTATATCTATTTAAAATTAGTTTAATAACATAATTTATCTTTAAATTATTAGATTTGTGGTAAAATAAAACTTATATTATCAATTTTGAATGTTTGAACCTCAAATTACTAATTTTTATGCAAATTTTATTTAATTTTTTTATGTTTAACAGTCAAAGTTTAATTGCTAACTGAAATGTTTAAACCAACATTGTTTTAAGTATTCAAATTTTTTTAGAAGTAAAATTATTTGAAAAAAATTTAATACTTCAGTTTTTTTTCTCAAAAAAAAAAAAAAAAGGGATTCATTAGACATGATTAATTGTCCAACAACAAAATTATATCCATAAGGAACAAAATTATCTAGGCTTTCTCAAAGATAACTATCTTTTTTTTCAAAAGTAATTTTAATTCTAAAAAAATAGGTTAATATTTTAGTTTTTTTTTTTACTAGATGAATTCATTACATATCGTTAATAATCTAATAATAAAAGTCAAATTCATAAATGATAAAATTGTTTAAATTTTCCTAAAACTAACTATTATTTAAAAAAATAATTTAATTCTAGAAAACCAAAATGTTTAAAATGGTATCGTTAATATTTTAGTTAAGCTCAACACTTTGATTTTAAGACATAACGAAAAAAAAGTCCAAATATTAATAATTTAAAAATTCAAATAATTTAAATTAATAATATAAATTTTATTTTACCACAGGATAATTTGACAGAAATTATACTATTAAGGTAGACCGTGAGTTTGCCCTTGCATAGCTTCATGATACGCTTCTGTCAGTCTTGAAGACTACCTGCTCTGTATCACAACTACCCTTTTCTTGTCATTCTGCTAGGATTGTTTGAAAACATCAAATTTCGAATAGTGCCATTTCCATATTTAGTAAATCAAGTTACAAAAATGCACGACATAACTACTCTGTGATCATAATTGTGACCACATCGATACTGATATTGACGAATCACGTTGAAAACATTACATTGGGAAAGTTGCATCCTTATCTAGGGACAGGTTGTGAGCTGGGACCACATTGACATTGATATTGATAATGAAGTTAAACTTCGTTGAGCTGATTTAAATTGATAAGTAAGTTAATTTGGAGAGAGAACCAATTTAAGCTAACGTCGAGCAGTCTAGCTAGTCATCTTGGTTTTTCTTTTCAACTCATGGATTAGTTGAATAACATACTTTATGTTAAAATAAGATTTGTTGTCAATTGTTTTTTTAATGTTAAAAGATAATGTATTTGTTTATTTTTATATATTAGAGATATTTTTTGTTTTTTCAAGTGTTTTTATTGCACATTATAGAGATAACTAATTTTATTCAAAACCAAAACAACAATATTTAACTCCTCTCAAAATTCGAATTCCACACAATAAAAAAAAATTTATTTAAAAATTAACTCGTTTATTGCTTGGGCAACAACTTATTGATTATTAAAAGTATTTTCTCTTAAGCTATTTTAAAAATAATTCAATTCCTTGCATCCTTGTTCATTTATTCCCCTTGTTCATTTTTTTTATCCAATTCCGTTCAAAGAAAATTTTATTTTTAAAACATAAAAAAAATAAAAAAAAATTATAATTGTGACCATTTTTTCTAGAGACTTCTATTTGTTTTTTGTTTTTTTTTTAATCGGAGACTCATATGTTATTGGACTACATAATAGAAGGTAGTCATCTTCCATTATACAATAGAAGGTAGTAAAAAATGTCACGCAACAATCAACTCTATTACATCGGTACATTATATTTTCAAGTAGCTATGGACACTCAAATAAAAAAAATTGAAGGTTGGGCATTGAAATAGAAAAAAATTAAAAATTGGGAACCTAAATATAAAAAATATATATCAATGGTTGGATATAAAATGTTTTCTTAAGAAATTTATTTTAATTTTCTCACATCAAATGTTTATTCCCTTCTTGTACTCGATATATCTTTTTTTTATTATAAATAGATTTAATGCATTTTTTTGTGCTTTCATAATATATATATAATCCCTCAAAACTTTCTTTTTGATATTAAAAGTTATATAATTTTAAATTCTAAAAACATCGGCAATGATATGCATGCATATTTGCTTATTATTATACTAATTACACGCAATTTTAACAATGCATTTACCTTTTATCTTAATTCACAATTTACTTATTATCTCTATTATTATCATCATCGCTCTAAAAAATATTACACTTTAAACGCTCAAATCAAATAGCTTGATTACTAAATTTATTTATGTCGATTCTATTATACCTCGACTTATCGTAAGAAATTAAACAAGTTATTGGTTACAACAAGATTATGTTACTTATAATATGTTGATCAATTTTCTCCCTACACAAAGGAAGCAATTTTTTTTTTTTTTTTTTTTGTAACTTTCTCCATCGACCAACCATTTGTTTCGTAAATGGCAATCATAATTGGATTTTATATGTCTCTTATTTTTTAATTTAATCTTAATTGGACCTTATATATATTTGAATTAAATGACATAATTTTAAAATTATCTAGACATTTAAAAGGATTTATAATTTTTTAAAAGTAATTTTTAAGCTGATACATAGTACTAAAATTTACCATTATTGAGTAAAAAAAATTTATGATTATGATATGAAAAATATTTATTGAAATTCTTGAATTAATTTTGCAATCTCGAGACAATAAATTTCTTTAAAAAATCGCATATTTGATACCTAATTTTTAATTTTTTTTTCCTATTTTAATGTCTAACCTTTGATTTTTTTTTTTTTTTGAATGTCCATAATTACATGAGAGTATAAGATGCCGATATGACGAATTGATCGTCACGTGACATTTTTTGACTTCCACACGACCGATCTCGCTAGACACGTCAATAAAATCGGGATTCGGATATCAAAACAAATAAAAAATTAAAATTTGAATGATCAATCAATAATTGGATAATAAAAAAAAATTGGAAGGTTGGACATTCAAAAAGCCTTTCCCTCCTTTTCTTTTAGATAAGCCATGACAAGTTCATTAAAGCACCACTGGACGAAAGGGGATGCAGAAAAGATACAAAGGGAAGCTACATTCTCAGAGTGCAGAAGAAAATAGAAACAAAAAAGGGCAACAATA